AGATGGCCACCACAAAATTGTACATTGACTCCTGGCCGACCTGGGCCAGGGCCAAGGCAGCGGGGGCCATTCCCTCACTGTTTCCAGGATGCTTCGCGGGCCACCCCTGGGCCTTGTGTTTGACATATCTGATATAGATGATTAATAGGTGAGATAGAGGTGTGTGTGTGTGTGTGAGAGAGAGAGAGAGAGAGAGAGGGGGGAGAGAGAGAGAGAGAGAGAAATATCTAAAATGTTATGGAAAGCACAGAAAAACTTCATTGGAAGTTTATTTTGGTAGAACAGGACATTTCTGAATATACCAAACTCCCAAATCCTTACCTGATGATCCTCGGTGACTTCAGCAAAGGGCAGGAGCACAAGGTGTCCAACAGTCCAAGCTCCTGACTGTAGGATCCCAGATATAATGAAGGAAGACTTGAAAAATACTTTATTGTTCTGCATCATATCTTCCAAGCGTTACCCAGTTGCAACAGTTTGTACAACAATTCACAACATAATACAGTCTTACAGATAAAATACATAAAGCATAATCCAGTATTTTAAGGATAAAAAGTCACATAAAAATTACAAAAGCAATGATAAAATACAATGGGTTAAATAGTTCACTAAAATGACATTTTTGACAAAAGGTGAGGTGTAAAAGGAACCATAGTTGTCATCAAAAGATTTTTCTCAGAAGAAAGAAAACACAACTTCAGTGTTTAAATACATAAATATCACAACAGGTATCTCTTGGTGAAGAGATGGTGATAAGAAAGAATACATAAAAACAGGCAAAAGATAAAACTTGTCTACCATAAGCATCACAACTACTTAACAACAGTAAATCAGGAGTAAAACTCAGTTGTATTACAAAAAATAAATGTCAAACAGAAATTTCAGGAACAAAAAGACAAATGTGTGTGACAAAAGAAATCAAAATTCTTGAGGTGATCGCCATACTGTGTGTCATGTTTAATATTTATCAGTCAAAACATAACTTACACATTTTAAACAACAGCCGTGGATAAAATTATTCCAAATAGAAATCTTTTATCAATCACTGGCCACACCAGACATTAAAAAGAGCGGTTGAGGTTTTCTGTCTGGTTCTAAGAACCATGGCTGTGGCTAAATTTATGCCAGGCAGAAAACTATAAAATCTATTATCAATCACTGGCACACCCAGTGTTAAAAAAGGCCATTGAGATGCTTTCTGGTTCTAAGAAGCAACATCGTGCCTAAATTAAGCCAGGCAAGAAATCTCCTCTGGGTTTCAATGGCCACATCTAGAATTTAAAAGGGTCACACAGATTTATTTTCCAGTTCGAGGACATAATGTTTCACCCTAGCAAAAAACTAGTTATTAATTTGTAGAGATGGCAATACCTCGTATTAAAGCGTGTCACCAGGTTTACTTTTGGTTCCAAGAGATCTGGCTGCAGCTGACATTATTTCTCAGGTATGAAGTTGGGAGGGAAGCGATCCAAAAGGATTCCCTTCCAGTTTGAGACTCAGCTGGGGCACCAGAGGAGGCTTGTAGTTGAGCGCTGTTGACTCCTCCAGTGTGACTCGCCCTGGCTGCTCACTCAGGTATTGAAAGGGTCTCCCTCCCAGGGTGGGTCTCACAGAGTGTGTGCTCAGAGGCTGGACGAGCCTGGGAGCGTCTGGCTGCCTACTCATTCAGTGTGATTTTCACAGAGTAGTAAATCGGGCTGGAAGACCCCTGTCAGGAGTGCCTTGGCATCACCTTTGTGAGTCAGGATGGCCTCAGCAGCAGTGCAGCCTTTTGCCCAAGAAATGCAGCCCATCAACTCACCCGTGCCCATTTACAGCCAGCTTTCCTCCTCCGCTGCCCTCCCGCAGCCGTTCTCCACGGCCAGTGGGCCCTTGGCCCTTTGCCTGTCGCCCTTCGGCCGGGCCAATTCACCCAGATACCGTTTGTCCTGGGTCTTTGTCTGTACGGGACAAATAGCCCACAGCCAACTGGGTGGCAGGCAGGAGCCATGGTGCTGCGGGAGCAGCGTGCAATGAGCAACCCCAGGGGCTGGGGAGGGCAGTTGTGATGCAAGATTTTTTAAAGTGCTGTGGCTGCTCTGCATGTTTTGGGGCCTTGCAGCTCTGACCCCAGAATCGGAAGGAGGGGGACTGGCAGCAGAAGTAGCAGCCACCGGGGCCACTGGGGAGAGCAGTCAGACAAGAGTGTGTTGGGGGAACGAGGGAGGGAGGGAGGGGCACCTCAAGGGGGCTTCACGAAGACAGCTTGACTTGCAACTCAGACGAAAGAGGGGAGGAGGAGAAAGGCCGGAGCAGCTTCTGCCACAGCCAGGGAGGTGGGTTAGGGGGGCACACAGGCAAACAGCAAGGCCAGCGTGGCTTCTACCCACCCTTCCCTCCCACGACGGCGCACGCAGTCCCATCATCCCCAGCCCTTGCCATTTGCCCTCCCTTCCCTCCCACGACGGCGCACGCAGTCCCATCAGCCCCAGCCCTTGCCATTTGCCCTGCCTTCCCTCCCACGACGGCGCACGCAGTCCCATCATCCCCAGCCCTTCCCATTTGCCCTCCCTTCCCTCCCACGACGGCGCACGCAGTCCCATCAGCCCCAGCCCTTCCCATTTGCCCTCCCTTCCCTCCCACGACGGCGCACGCAGTCCCATCAGCCCCAGCCCTTGCCATTTGCCCTCCCTTCCCTCCCACGACGGCGCACGCAGTCCCATCAGCCCCAGCCCTTCCCATTTGCCCTCCCTTCCCTCCCACGACGGCGCACGCAGTCCCATCAGCCCCAGCCCTTGCCATTTGCCCTCCCTTCCCTCCCACGACGGCGCACGCAGTCCCATCAGCCCCAGCCCTTCCCATTTGCCCTCCCTTCCCTCCCACGACGGCGCACGCAGTCCCATCAGCCCCAGCCCTTCCCATTGGCCCTCCCTTCCCCCCCACGACGGCGCACGCAGTCCCATCAGCCCCAGCCCTTGCCATTTGCCCTCCCTTCCCTCCCACGACGGCGCACGCAGTCCCATCAGCCCCAGCCCTTGCGATTTGCCCTCCCTTCCCTCCCACGACGGCGCACGCAGTCCCATCAGCCCCAGCCCTTCCCATTTGCCCTCCCTTCCCTCCCACGACGGCGCACGCAGTCCCATCAGCCCCAGCCCTTCCCATTTGCCCTCCCTTCCCTCCCACGACGGCGCACGCAGTCCCATCAGCCCCAGCCCTTCCCATTGGCCCTCCCTTCCCTCCCACGACGGCGCACGCAGTCCCATCAGCCCCAGCCCTTCCCATTTGCCCTCCCTTCCCTCCCACGACGGCGCACGCAGTCCCATCAGCCCCAGCCCTTGCCATTTGCCCTCCCTTCCCTCCCACGACGGCGCACGCAGTCCCATCATCCCCAGCCCTTCCCATTTGCCCTCCCTTCCCTCCCACGACGGCGCACGCAGTCCCATCAGCCCAGCCCTTGCCATTTGCCCTCCCTTCCCTCCCACGACGGCGCACGCAGTCCCATCAGCCCCAGCCCTTGCCATTTGCCCTCCCTTCCCTCCCACGACGGCGCACGCAGTCCCATCAGCCCCAGCCCTTGCCATTTGCCCTCCCTTCCCTCCCAAGGCGCAAGCAGTCCCATTAGCCCACGTTTCCCTCCCATGACTAGCACTCTGTTTGCCTGTGTGCCCCCCTAACCCACCTCCCTGGCTGTGGCAGAAGCTGCTCCGGCCTTTCTCCTCCTCCCCTCTTTCGTCTGAGTTGCGAGTCAAGCTGTCTTCGTGAAGCCCCCTTGAGGTGCCCCTCCCTCCCTCCCTCGTTCCCCCAACACACTCTTGTCTGACTGCTCTCCCCAGTGGCCCCGGTGGCTGCTACTTCTGCTGCCAGTCCCCCTCCTTCCGATTCTGGGGTCAGAGCTGCAAGGCCCCAAAACATGCAGAGCAGAGCACTTTTTTAAAAAAATCTTGCATCACAGCTGCCCTCCCCAGCCCCTGGGATTGCTCATCGCACGCTGCCCCCGCAGCACCATGGCTGGGGGCTATTTGTCCCGTATAGCCAAAGGCCCGGGACAAAGGGTGTCTGGGTGAATTGTCCAGGCCGAAGGGCGAGGGGCAGAGGGCCAAGGGTCCACTGGCCGTGGAGAATGGCTGCGGGAGGGCAACGGAGGAGGAAAGCTGGCTGTAAATGGGCTGAGGCGAGTGGCAGGGGGCGAAGGAGGCGTGACCAAGGGTCCATGCCTAAACATGGAGGTCGGTGGAGATGGAATCAGGAATAGTGCATCTCTTTTGTCTCTCTGGTTTCATGGACTGCATCATGATCATCATTGACCAGTGAGGGAAGCGATCCAAAAGGATTCCCTTCCAGTTTGAGACTCAGTTGGGGAGTCTCAGGGACCGGGAGAGACTTCCAGCCGAGGGCTGTTGACGCCTCCAGTGTGATTCGCCCTCGCTGCTCACTCGGGGACTGAAAGAGAGAGACTTCTAGTGTGAGTCTCACAAAGTATCTGCTCATGGACTGAGTGAGTCTGGGAGCCGATAATTATCCACATCCATTCAGTGTGAGTGTCACACAGAGGAAGCTCAGGGACTGAAAGACCTCTAAAAATGAGTCATCACTATTATTTACAGGATGGATTGGCATGTGGAATGCTTGTGTGGCCCTTCTCAAGTTCTAAGAAGTACAGCTGTGGCTAACATTACACCAGGCCAGAATACTAATTACTGTTTTAATAATCAGTGACCAAGCCTAGCAATAGAAAGGGCCATAGACATTTTCTTTTGGGTGGTAAGAACCATTGCCAGGCCTAACAGTAAGGAGGCAAGAAAAGTATGGAATCTTATGTACATCATGGAACACACCTAGAATGGGCTAAAAATACAACAGGCAAGAAAACGAGAATCCCTATTATGTAGCAATGGTCACAGATAAGATGAAAATGTGTAGTGTGGTGTGATCATGAAAGTGGCTTACATTTTCAGAGATTGTTCTAAAGGCCAGTTTTGACATAATTGGTGAAATAGCATTCTTGGTGGAGATCATGTTCATTCTTGCGTTCCATTCCTTCTTCCTCCTTTTTCACCATCAACACTGCAGGTTGACAAGTGAGTCTTTTGTCTTCTAGGATGGTGTAGAGTACATGCCTTTGAGATAAAAAAAAAAAATCAACGTTACTTCAGCTGCCACTGAGGTTTTACACCTAAGAAGGCACAATACACTGTGGTTACTATTACCTCAGATGCAGGTGTTACCCCTACTTACCTAGGAAGAATGGACCATCAATTTTTTTTTGGGGGGGGACCATTGACCTCCCTCCATATCCTAAAACTTTGAAGAATACAACTTACCTCACAGCGTAGGAGGCGCCATCACAGCCAAAGGCTAACAGGGCTTGGAACTGGAGACATTTTCTTGCTGTCTTGGTTCTTTTTTCTTTCTTCGCCTTTGTTTCTTCCTCGGTGTGTCTTCTGAGGAACATTTGGCAACAGGGTGCAAATGTTCCTCCCCTCAATCTCAGGGACTCTAAACCTATAAATTCTTTTCTAGATCAACGGCCACACCTAGCATTAAAAAGGGCCGTTGAGGCTTTCTTCCTGGTTCTAAGAACCATCGCCATGACTAGAATTATGCCAGGCAAGAAAAGTATAAAATCTATTATCCATCAATGGCCACACTTAGAATTAAAAAGGTCCATTGAAACTTTTTTTCTGATTCTAAGATCAATCGCCATGGCTAAAATTACGCCAGGCAGAAAACTATAAAATCTCTGATTAATCACTGGCCACGTTGCTCATTTAAATGGGCCACTGAGAGGTTTTCTTTCTGGTTCTAAGAACCATAGCCATGGCTAAATTTACACCAGGCAGAAAACTATAATATCTATTATCAATCAATGGCCACACCTAGAATTAAAATGTCCACTGAAACTTTCTTGCTGGTTCTAAGAACCGTTGCCAGGGCTTAATTTATGTCAGGCAAGAAAGATATAAAATCTATTATCTACAAAATCATATTCATTCCTGATTTCCATTCCTTCTTCTTGTACTTTTACCATCAAAGCTGAGTCTTCTGTCTTCTAAGATGCTGTAGTACATGCCTTTGAAATAAAAAAAAAATCCACGTTACTTCAGCTGCCACTGAGGTTTTACACCTAAGAAGGCACAATACACTGTGGTTACTATTACCTCAGATGCAGGTGTTACCCCTACTTACCTAGGAAGAATGGACCATCAATTTTTTGGGGGGGGGGGACCATTGACCTCCCTCCATATCCTAAAACTTTGAAGAATACAACTTACCTCACAGCGTAGGAGGCGCCATCACAGCCAAAGGCTAACAGGGCTTGAGCTGCAGACATTTTCTTGCTGTCTTGGTTCTTCTTTTTTCTTTCTTCGCCTTTGTTTCTTCCTCCGCGGTGTCTCTTCTGAGGAACATTTGGCAACAGGGTGCAAATGTTCCTCCCCTCAATCTCAGGGACTCTAAAGCTATAAATTCTTTTCTAGATCAACGGCCACACCTAGCATTAAAAAGGGCCGTTGAGGCTTTCTTCCTGGTTCTAAGAACCATCGCCATGGCTAGAATTATGCCAGGCAAGAAAGGTATAAAATCTATTATCCATCAATGGCCCCACTTAGAATTAAAAAGGTCCATTGAGAGGTTTCCTTTCTGGTTCTAAGATCCATCACCATGGCTAGAATTATGCCAGGCAGAAAACTATAAAATCTATGATTAATCACTGGCCACGTTGGTCATTTAAATGGGCCACTGAGGTGTTTTCTTTCTGGTTCTAAGAACCATAGCCATGGCTAAATTTACACCAGGCAGAAAACTCTAAAATCTATTATCAATCAATGGCCACACCTAGAATTAAAAGGTCCATTGAAACTTTCTTTCTGGTTCTAAGAACCGTTGCCAGGGCTTAATTTACGCCAGGCAAGAAAGATATAAAGTCAACTATCTACAAGGTTGTATTCATTCTTGATTTCCATTCCTTCTTCTTATACTTTTACCATTAAAGCTGAGTCAGGATGGTGTAGAGTACATGCCTTTGAGATAAAAAAAAAAAAATCAACGTTACTTCAGCTGCCACTGAGGTTTTACACCTAAGAAGGCACAATACACTGTGGTTACTATTACCTCAGATGCAGGTGTTACCCCTACTTACCTAGGAAGAATGGACCATCAATTTTTTTTGGGGGGGGGACCATTGACCTCCCTCCATATCATAAAACTTTGAAAGAATACAACTTACCTCACAGCGTAGGAGGCGCCATCACAGCCAAAGGCTAATAGGGCTTGAGCTGCAGACATTTTCTTGCTGTCTTGGTTCTTCTTTTTTCTTTCTTCGCCTTTGTTTCTTCCTTCGCAGTGTCTCTTCTGAGGAACATTTGGCAACAGGGTGCAAATGTTCCTCCCCTCAATCTCAGTGACTCTAAAGCTATAAATTCTTTTCTAGATCAATGGCCACACCTAGCATTAAAAAGGGCCATTGAGGCTTTTTTTCTGTTTCTAAGAACCATCGCCATGGCTAGAATTATGCCAGGCAAGAAAGGTATAAAATCTATTATCCATCAACAGCCCCACTTAGAATTAAAAGGTCCATTGAGAGGTTTCCTTTCTGATTCTAAGATCCATCGCCATGGCTAGAATTATGCCAGGCAGAAAACTATAAAATCTATGATTAATCACTGGCCACGTTGGTCATTTAAATCGGCCACTGAGAGGTTTTCTTTCTGGTTCTAAGAACCATAGCCATGCCTAAATTTACACTAGGCAGACAACTATAAAATCTATTATCAATCAATGGCCACACCTAGAATTAAAAGGTCCATTGAAACTTTCTTTCTGGTTCTAAGAACCGTTGCCAGGGCTTAATTTATGCCAGGCAAGAAAGATATAAAGTCAACTATCTACAAGGTCGTATTCATTCTTGATTTCCATTCCTTCTTCTTATACTTTTACCATCAAAGCTGAGTCTTCTGTCTTCTAAGATGCTGTAGTACATGCCTTTGAGATAAAAAAAAAATCAACGTTACTTCAGCTGCCACTGAGGTCACAATACACTGTGGTTACTATTACCTCAGATGCAGGTGTTACCCCTACTTAACTAGGAAGAATGGACCATAATTTTTTTTGGGGGGGGGACCATTGACCTCCCTCCATATCCTAAAACTTTGAAGAATACAACTTACCTCACAGCGTAGGAGGTGCCATCACAGCCAAAGGCTAACAGGTCTTGAGTTGCAGACATTTTCTTGCTGTCTTGGTTCTTCTTTTTTCTTTCTTCGGCTTTGTTTCTTCCTCCGCCCGTGTCTCTTCTGAGGAACATTGGGCAACAGGGTGCAAATGTTCCTCCCCTCAATCTCAGGGACTCTAAACCTATAAATTCTTTTCTAGATCAATGGCCACACCTAGCATTAAAAAGGGCCGTTGAGGCTTTCTTTCTGGTTCTAAGAACCATCGCCATGGCTAGAATTATGCCAGGCAAGAAAGGTATAAAATCTATTATCCATCAATGGCCACACTTAGAATTAAAAAGGTCCATTGAGAGGTTTCCTTTCTGGTTCTAAGATCGATCGCCATGGCTAGAATTATGCCAGGCAGAAAACTATAAAATCTATGATTAATCACTGGCCACGTTGGTCATTTAAATGGGCCACTGAGGTGTTTTCTTTCTGGTTCTAAGAACCATAGCCATGGCTAAATTTACACCAGGCAGAAGACTATAAAATCTATTATCAATCAATGGCCACACCTAGAATTAAAAGGTCCATTGAAACTTTCTTTCTGGTTCTAAGAACCGTTGCCAGGGCTTAATTTATGCCAGGCAAGAAAGATATAAAATCAACTATCTACAAGATCGTATTCATTCTTGATTTCCATTCCTTCTTCTTGTACTTTTACCATCAAAGCTGAGTCTTCTGTCTTCTAAGATGCTGTAGTACATGCCTTTGAGATAAAAAAAAAAAAATCAACGTTACTTCAGCTGCCACTGAGGTTTTACACCTAAGAAGGCACAATACACTGTGGTTACTATTACCTCAGATGCAGGTGTTACCCCTACTTACCTAGGAAGAATGGACCATAATTTTTTTTTGGGGGGGGACCATTGACCTCCCTCCATATCCTAAAACTTTGAAGAATACAACTTACCTCACAGCGTAGGAGGCGCCATCACAGCCAAAGGCTAATAGGGCTTGAGCTGCAGACATTTTCTTGCTGTCTTGGTTCTTCTTTTTTCTTTCTTCGCCTTTGTTTCTTCCTCCGCCGTGTCTCTTCTGAGGAACATTTGGCAACAGGCGTGCAAATGTTCCTCCCCTCAATCTCAGGGACTCTAAAGCTATAAAATCTTTTCTAGATCAACGGCCACACCTAGCATTAAAAAGGGCGTTGAGGCTTTCTTTCTGGTTCTAAGAACCATCGCCATGGCTAGAATTATGCCAGGCAAGAAAGGTATAATATCTATAATCGATCAACAGCCACACCTAGCATTAAAAAGGGCCATTGAGCTTTTTTTTTAGTTCTAAGAACCATCGCCATGGCCAGAATTATGCCAGGCAGAAAACTATAAAATCTATTATTAATCACCGGCCACACTGGTCATTTAAAAAGGCCGTTGAGATTTTCTTTCTGGTTCTAAGAACCATCGCCAGGGCTAAAATTACACCAGGCAGAAAAGTATAAAATCTATAATCAATCAACAGCCATGCCTAGCATTTAAAAGGGCTGTTGGGGAGGTTTCCTTTCTGGTTCTAAGAACCATTGCCATGGCTAAATTTACAGCTGGCAAGAAAGGTATTAAATCTATTATCTACAGTTCAGTTTTGTTTTATATGGTGAAGTAGCCTTCTTGATATTCATTCTTGCGTTCCATTCCTTCTTCCTCCATTTTCATCTTCTGTCTTCTAAGATGGTGTAGCAGAAGCCTTTGAGTTAAAAAAAATAGTATTACTTCAGCTGCCCCTGCGGTTTTACTTCCAAGAATGCACAAAGTACAGTGGTTACTATTACCTCAGATACAGGTGTTACCTTTCCTTATCTAGGCATAATGCAGAGGTTCCCAACCTTTTGGGCACCAAGAACCGGTGCCATGGAGAAGGGTTTTCCATGGACGAGAGGGGGTGTGGTTTTGAATACTGCCTGCATCCTGAGGATGGAGCTTTGCTTGTTTGTGTGGACCACTTGCTGGCATGTTGAGGACCAGTGCTGGTCCACCGACCGGGGGTTGGGGATACCTGGCATAATGGATCATCCACCTCCCTCCATACCCTAAGATTTTGAAGAACACAAGACTCAACTAAACATACCTCACAGCGTAGGAGGCGCCATCACAGCCAAAGGCTAATAGGGCTTGAGCTGGAGACATTTTCTTGCTGTCTTGGTCCTTCTTTCTTTCTTCTTCTTTCTCTTTGGTTTCTTCCTCTGCCGTGCCCAGTGTGCATCATCTCTTTCGAGGAACATTTGGCAGAAGAGCGCACTTGTTCCTCTGCTCAATCTGCAAAGCTAGGAAACTATAAAATCTTTTATAGATCAACGGCCACACCTAGCGTTAGAAAGGGGCCATTGAGATTTTCTTTCTGGTTCTAAGAACCATTGCCATGGCTAAAATTATGCCAGGCAGAAAACTATAAAATCTATTATTAATCACTGGCCACGCTGGTTATTTAAATGGGCCATTGAGGTTTCCTTTCTGGTTCTAAGAACCATTGCCATGGCTAAAACTATGCCAGGCAGAAAATTATAAAATCTATTATTAACCATCGGCCACGCTGGTCATTTAAATGGGCCATTGAGGTTTACTTTCTGGTTCTAAGAACCATCGCCATGGCTAGAATTATGCCAGGCATAAATCTATAAAATCTATAATTAATCACTGGCCATGCTGTTCATTTAAATGGGCCACTGAGGTTTCCTTTCTGGTTCTAAGAACCATCATCATGGCTAAAATAATGCCAGGCAGAAAATTTTAAAATCTATTATAGATCAACAGCCACACCTAGCATTAAGAAGGGCCGCTGAGGTTTCCTTTCTGGTTCTAAGAACCATCACCATGGCTAAAATTATGCTAGGGAAGAAAGGTATGAAATCAAATATCAATCATAATACCAGGTAGCAGCCAGAATATATAATGAAAACTCTTTAATTTCACAACAAATTCAAAGATGTAACCATAGTTCCAGTTGGGAAACTGACTATCCTAGACCAGGGGTAGACAACCTTGGCTTTTTTATGACTCGTGGACTTCAATTCCCAGAATTCCTGAGCCAGCCATTCTGTCTCAGGAATTCTGGGAGTTGAAGTCCACGAGTTATAAAAGAGCCAAGGTTGCATACCCCTGTCGTAGACCAAGCAATGTCCAAAAACACTAATAAATTTCTAGGAGCCTGTCACTCTGACAAATTAGCCATCAATAGACAGACAGAAACAATATGTACCCATTTTGCAAAAAAGACAACACCTCTTCACCAGCAATCCACACTGAGATATGCATAGATTAACACTATGATTAACATCAGACCAACAATCAAGAAGTAAACAATGTCCTAATCAAGGAACTGCCAAAGAAGCTAACAACAAATAGGCAACAAAGAACCTCCAAGACCATTTTTTAAAAAACTGCTAAAGCAAGCCTTAGGGCAGTGATGGCGAACCTTTTAGATCTTTTAGAGTGTCCAAAAGCCGCCCTGCCCCAGCTCTCACCCGCTCGCCTCCTCGTCCCACTTGCCATCCCGCAGGGCCACCTACCGCCTCCATGGCCCGTCGCAGATCTCCCAGGCGGTCCTGCAGTGCCATGGCAGCCACGCCTTCTGCCTGCATCATCTGCATGTGACAGGGTGCGAGGGCGGAGTCTTGTCCCCACTGCCCGGCTGCCATGTCCTTGGCTGGGCTGCTGCGCGCGGGCCACACTCAGGGGTGATTCTCCTCCAGGGGTCTGCTGGTGAAGAGGGGGCCGCGGGGGGAGGTAGGGCCAGGGCGATGGCGCGCGTGCCCATAGAAAGGGCTCAGAGTGCCACCTCTGTCCCACGTGCCATAGGTTCGTCACCACTGCCTTAGGGTAAATTTCAGCAAGGCCCAAACAGTACTGGCCAGGCTTCCTCAATTTCATGATACACCGAAGAATGAATTAAACCATCTGTCTTACTGTTGATGTCTTCTTCTTCGTCTACAGGTCATTTTGGATTAATGCCTTTGAAATAAAAAAAGTCAACATTACTACAGTTGGAATTGGGGTTTTACTCCTAAGAATTCACAATACACAGTGGTTTCTATTACCCCAGACACAGGTGTTACTCTTGCTTACCTAGGCATAATTAGTGGAAGACCATCCACCTCCCTCCATATCCTAAAGCAGGGGTCTCCAAATCTGGCCCTTTTATGACTTGTGGACTTCAACTCCCAGCACACTGGCTGAGGAATTCTGGGAGTTGAAGTCCACAAATCATAAAAGGGCCAGGTTTGGAGACCCCTGTCCTAAAGCTTTAAAGAATATAAGACTCAACTAAACATACCTCTCAGCGTGGACGGTGCCATGACAGCCGAAGACTAAGAGGGCTTGAGCTGGAGACATTTTCTTGCTCTTTTTTTCTTCTTTTTTCTTCTTTCTCCTTTGTTGCTTCCTCAGTCGTGCCCGGCAATGTTGTCTCTTTCGAAGAATATTCGGCAGAAGAGTGCACTTCCTCTGCTCAGTCTGCAAAGCTAGAAAACTATAACATCCTTGCCTCCCCCCGCAACCCCTTTTTACAGATCAATGGCCAACCTAATATTAAAAAGGGCCATTGATGTTTTCTTTTTGGTTCTATGAACCATTGCCAAGGCTAAATTTCCAGACCAACACTCAAGAAGTAAACAATACCCTAATCAAGGAGCTGCCAAAGAAACTAACAACACATAGCACAACAAAGAACCTCCAAGACCACTTTTGCTAACAAAAGGAGCCACTAGAACAGTGATGGCGAACCTTTTAGAGACCGAGTGCCCAAAAACTTGCCCCGCCCCTGCTCCACCCCTCCACCCCACCCCCCCACCCCACCTGCCCACAGGACCACTTACCGCCTCCATGGCCTTCTGCAGATCGCCCAGGCAGCCCAGCAGCGCTATGGCAGCCACGCCCTCTGCCCACGCCCTGCAGCATCAACTGCATGATGGGGTGTGCATGATAGGGTCTATGCTGCCTGGCTGCCATGTCTTTGGCTGCGCTGCTCCATGTGGGCCACGCTCGAGGGCGAGTCTCCTTCAGGGGAGCTGCTGGAGAGGAGGGGGTCGCGGGGGGAGGCAAGACTGGGGCAACGGTACATGTGCCCATAGAGAGGGCTCCGAGTGCCACCACTGGCACCTGTGCCATAGGTTCACCACCACTGCACTAGAGCATAAACTGTGAACAAACTGCACTCCCTTCAAGCACTGATGATGTTCCCTAGTTTGGTAAAGAAACGTCTACAACAGGGGTGTCAAACTGCCGGCCCATGGGCCGCCCACCCCATTGCCAGCAATGGCAAAACCAGCCCGATGCGTTGCATGACGTCACATGACGTCACGAGTTTGGACATGCTTGGTCTACAAGAAAACTGCCAAGCTCAGAGAGCACCAAGGACGCCTCATTTCCACTCTTAACCACAGATATTCTTCTTTATTGGTATTCCTCGTATTAAATTGCATCACCAGGTTTACTTTTGCTTCTAAGAAGTCTGGCCCTATTGGCATTATTTTCAAGGGTGTGAAGGTGGGAGAGAGGTAATCCAAAGGATTCCCTTCTGGCTTTAGTCTCACTGAGGGAGTCCTCAGGTACTGGAGGAGGCTGGTATCTGTCTGATTCTAAGATCCACAGCCAATAACTAAAATTGTCTTGGGTCAGAAATTTTTTTGCTACTTTTTAGGCATGTTTCTCACACTTATGACTGCTCTTTTTACCCTTGATACTTTGTAATGTTTAAAAAAAAACTTTGCTAAAGCAAGTCTTAAGATAAACTTTAGCAAGACCCAAAGATTTTTGCAGTAGTTAACATGTTGCAAACAGTACCTGCCAGGCTTCCTTACTTTCATAATATACTGGAGAATGAATTAAACCATCTGTCTTACTGTTGATGTCTTCTTCTTCGTCTATATGGATTCATGCCTTTGAAAAAAAAAAAAATCAACATCACCAAATGACCAGTGGATGTTCAGAGGTTAGAAAAGCAATCAGTCAAAGGGGTTTTATGTGTTTTATCCTACTTGTGAAAGAAGGCAAGATACAATGACTTGTAACATTGTTCCCTTAAGCCACTAACCTGTTTTCTACATGTTTTGCTTCTAAGGCAGAGGTCTTCAAACTTGGCCCTTTTATGACTTGTGGATTGGCACACTGGCTGAAGAATTCTGGGAGTTGAAGTCCACAAGTCATAAAAGGGCGTTTGAAGACCCCTGGACTTCAACTCCCAGAATTCCTCAGCCAGCCATGTTGAGGTTTCCAAGATGAGCCATGCTGGCTCAGGAATTGTGGGAGTTGAAGTCCACAAGACATAAAAGAGCCAAGGTTGCTACCCCTGGGATAGGGTTTCCTGCCTGAGCAGGGGGTTGGACTAGATGACCTCCACGGTCCCTTCCAACTTAATTATTATTACATATTTGGCTTCTTTTAGGGACTTGAGCCTTGACTAAAATTATCTCAGATTCCAAAAAAATCACTTTATTCCTAAGAGGAAAGTCAGTTCCTGAGATAATTTTACCTTTAAAGCTAATTTTAACTCCTATTCACCTTTGCTGGTTTGGTCCCTTTAAAAGGGGCATGGCTGAGATTACCTCAGGTTCCATTAAAATATTATAAGAACTTGAATTCTTGGCTAAAATTACCCCAAGAATTTACTTTATTCCTAAGAGGAAAGTCAGTTCCTGAGATAATTTTACCTTTAAAGCTAATTTTAACTCCTATTCACCTTTGCTGGTTTGGTCTCTTTAAAAGGGGGATGGCTGAGATTACCTAAGGTTCCATTAAAATATTATAAGAACTTGAATTCTTGGCTAAAATTACCCCAAGAATTTACTTTATTCCTAAGAGGAAAGTCAGTTCCTGAGATAATTTTACCTTTAAAGCTAATTTTAACTCCTATTCACCTTTGCTGGTTTGGTCCCTTTAAAAGGGGCATGGCTGAGATTACCTCAGGTTCCATTAAAATTTTATTCTAAGAACTTGAATTCTTGGCTAAAATTACCCCAAGAATTTACTTTATTCCTAAGAGGAAAGTCAGTTCCTGAGATAATTTTACCTTTAAAGCTAATTTTAACTCCTATTCACCTTTGCTGGTTTGGTCCCTTTAAAAGGGCATGGCTGAGATTATCTCAGCTTCCATTAAAATATTATAAGAACTTGAATTCTTGGCTAAAATTACCCCAAGAATTTACTTTATTCCTAATAGGAAAGTCAGTTCCTGAGATAATTTTACCTTTAAAGCTAATTTTAACTCCTATTCACCTTTGCTGGTTTGGTCTCTTTAAAAGGGGGATGGCTGAGATTACCTAAGGTTCCATTAAAATTTTATTCTAAAAACTTGAATTCTTGGCTAAAATTACCCGAAGAATTTACTTTATTCCTAAGAGGAAAGTCAGTTCCTGAGATAATTTTACCTTTAAAGCTAATTTTAACTCCTATTCACCTTTGCTGGTTTGGTCCCTTTAAAAGGGGCATGGCTGAGATTACCTAAGGTTCCATTAAAATTTTATTATAAAAAGTTGAATTTTCATATTTGGTGGAATTGTAAAAAAGTAAAGGCTTTTTGGATTATGATTTGGTGGAATGTTCAAAAGATTTTTAGAAAAAAGATAAAGTTTATTCCTCAACTATTTTTACTTGGTATTTTTGTTGACTTAAATGAAAAAGAAACTACTTTGATGTTGAAATTTATTAACTGCAGCAAGGTTATTGGTTTATATTGGAAGAAAGATTCCTTGCCTACTTTAGAAGAATGGATATTTAAAGTATCTAGTTTTGCAGAAATGGCAAAAATTTTTGCTTATTTAAAGGATCATACACAAGAAAGATATATTATTGTATGGGGGAAGGTGGATAGATTATATTCAGAAAAAGTATGGAATTAAAAAGTTTCACTTATTTTATGAATGAATATTAAATATTATAGAGAATTGTTTTATAGGTTATGGAGTTAAAGGTTAATTATGATAAAAAACATTTCTTTTTTCTTTTCTTTTTTTTTCCTTTTTCTTAATTATTATAAATTTTGTTATTATTAACCCTGTATTCTGCTCTGGGAAGTGAAGGGAGGGGGGTTGGGGGTGGGAGGGAGGGTAAGGGTTTTTTTTTTCTCTATTTTAAAATTTTATTGTATTTTTATAAATGCTTGTATGTTAAAAAAAAATTTTTTTTCAATAAAAAGTTGAATTTTTGGCTAAAATTACCCCAAGAATTTACTTTATTCCTAAGAGGAAAGTCAGTTCCTGAGATAATTTTACCTTTAAAGTAATTTTAACTCCTATTCACCTTTGCTGGTTTGGTCCCTTTAAAAGGGGCATGGCTGAGATTACCTCAGGTTCCACCAAAATTTTATTCTAAGAACTTGAAATATTGGCTAAAATTATCCCAAGAATTTACTTTATTCCTAAAAGGAAAGTCAGTTCCTGAGATAATTTTACCTTTAAAGCTAATTTTAACTCCTATTCACCTTTGCTGGTTTGGTCCCTCTAAAAGGGGCATGGCTGAGATTACCTAAGGTTCCATTAAAATTTTATTCTAAAAACTTGAATTCTTGGCTAAAATTACCCCAAGAATTTACTTTATTCCTAAGAGGAAAGTCAGTTCCTGAGATAATTTTACCTTTAAAGTTAATTTTAACTCCTATTCACCTTTGCTGGTTTGGTCCCTTTAAAAGGGGCATGGCTGAGATTACCTCAGGTTCCACCAAAATTTTATTCTAAGAACTTGAAATATTGGCTAAAATTATCCCAAGAATTTACTTTATTCCTAAAAGGAAAGTCAGTTCCTGAGATAATTTTACCTTTAAAGCTAATTTTAACTCCTATTCACCTTTGCTGGTTTGGTCCCTCTAAAAGGGGCATGGCTGAGATTACCTCAGGTTGGACCAAAAATTGACTAGAATTACTTTAAGACACAGCGGTTTGCGTTATTCCCCGAGCGAAAGAGTGAGATATGTATTTTTAGTGACCTATGCTATTGGAGTCCTTTGAATAAAACACCGTTGAGCAACCACTGGCGTTTTACTCCTAAAAATACACGCCGTGGTTAAAATTACCATAGGTGCTATCCCGACTCCTCGAGAATAAGCTATTAATTAGTTGAAGAACTCACGCCCCCCTCCGCATCCCTAAAAGGTAAAAAAATTCTCAGCTGCAATTACCTCAAAGCTCAAAAGGCCCTGCCCGGCCTCGAGCTCGAGGACTTGAGCCGCGGGAGCGCCGGAGAGAGACATTTTTGCCCTCCGGCGCCCCGCAGCAAAAAGGAAAAAATCGGCAGGCTCTCAGGCTGAGTGCCAAAAGAAAAGCGAGCCCTCTGCAGAGGCAGGAGACGCCGCTACCGCCTCTCTTTTGAGGAAAAAGAGAGGCGGCAGCGGCGGCGGCTACCTCTACAGGGGGATCGCTTTTAATTTTGCACTCAGCCTGAGGAGCCCGCCGACTTTTTAAATGCCCCCGCCTTTCGGAGAGGGGAGAGGCCGCTCAGCCAATCCGAGGGAAGCGTTTTCGGGGCAGCCAATCACGAGCGAGATGGGCGTGCAGACAGGAGCCAGCGAGGCGGGCCGAGGCCGAGGGCGCTGGGCGGGAAAGGCGCGCGCTGTTTCCCGCGCAAAAACAGGTGCGAACGCTCGGCTGGTTTCCCAGCTCGCGCACCGGTTGCCATGGAGACGGGCGCACTGGTTGCCATGGAGACGGCCACAGCGCGGGAAGCGGCTCATCACGGTCACGTGTGCTTCGGCCCGCACAGGTGAAGGTGATTAGATTGCGTAATGCCTCCTCCTCGGGCCTTCGCCCCGCCTACGGCGCCCTTCGCCCCGTCCGGGGACCCTTTGGACTACAAATCCCATCCGTCAGGCAGCCTTGTGCCTGAAAGGCTGCCTCCCATCCCTCTCCCGTTGCAAAGGCCCAGTTTTTAAAATACCCCATCATTTTTGCAGCTGTGCTTTTTAGGAGATCAGAGGGCGACTTGGGCTTCCACTGGATTTCAAGTCCCATCAGCCACCTCTGGGATGCTGATGGGGATCGTCCCTTCTTCCAACAGAGAACTTTTCTTGTTGAGCAGGAAAATGCTTAAAATGCTGTTTAAAAAAAAATCTGAAAATTTAATAAATGCAAAATAAAATAAAGATTATATGCAGAATTTAGGTGATGCTTTGGACTACAGGTCCCATTAGCCAGCCTTGGGGGGATGCTAATGGGGATTGCTTCTCTTGCAATAAGATTGCCCTTCTGGTTGGTGGGTCCTTCCCCCCCCCCAAAAAAAAATTCAAACCTTTTTTTGTTTTGTTTGCATCTTCTCTACCATGTTATGATCTTGCCAGGCAGCCCTTGGTTTTATTTGTTATTTTTTTCCAGTTTTTTTTTCTTTAGGAAAAAAAAAATCCAGGACTGGTTTGTTTTGCTTTGCTTTGCTTCCTAGGGATTCTGCTAAAATGTACAATAGAGTTTCTGATACATGGTGTCTTGCCCAGTGAAAAAATTGACTTAAATTTGAAACTGTTTCTTCCTTTTTCTATTATTGGAACTCTTTCCTCCCCTACCCTCAGTTAAATGTTTTCAAAAGAGATCTGATACATTTCTATCAACATTATAAGTATTTTAATAACTTTTAATGAAACCCCTCTCAACATTTTCCACGTTGCGCCCTCCAGACAGGGTAGGACAATGATCTGCAGAATTAACCTACCAGCTTTGTTTTCCTTTATTAAGAAAAATATTCCAGCACTGTTCAACAAACCACTGTTAAGAGACAAATACCTTCTTGTTAAGGAAAGCTGCTTCACTAAGCCATTTTATTTGGCTGGGTAGAGGAAAGGAATATTTTGCAAGTGATTGCAGAGAGACCACAATATCAAAATATTCTGACAAATTCTGGGTTTGGCACAAAGGCAACGCTTTCTGAATTGGTTCTGATAAGTTCTTGCTTCAAGGAATTGCAGATGATTCTCAAAATACTTGGAATATGTCTTGTTCAGCCCAGGCAGGAGTTAAGATGGCCAGTTGCGTTTTATTCCAAAATTACAAAAAAAAAAAAAAAAAAAAAAAAAATCTCCCTGAAATACAGTCAAATATTTTGTTGCTTGACAATTTTGGCAGCCATAGATCACTTTTCTGATTATTATTATTTTTTTAGCACCAACACTGGTCTGGATACACAATAAGGCTCTTTAAAAGCAGCTCGAAGGATACCCAAAGAAAACAGAAAGATTCAAGCTGCTAATTTGTACAAAATTATTTTTTTAAAAATGCACAGATGCAAAAACATTCCTTCATTTCTTAGGAGTCACAAATGTTTCCCCCCCAAAAAACAACCCCACAACTTTTCATAATCAACTGTTATCTAATTAGAACCGTTTTTACTTCCAGGCAGATGGACGTGGTCCCTAAAGAGCTTGTGTCATGGACCAAAATGCAGTCATGATTAAAACAACTTTGCAACAGATGGACCTCAAAACTGTGTTCTTAACAAACAGGCCACAATTTTAGAGATCCCAGCTCTTCCCCAATCTCAATTAGTCATCCTATTTACATAGGTTAAAATCTGGGGGGGGGGGAGAAAGAAAGTGATTTGGTTTTTCCTTTGGGTCCTCTGAATAGGTTCGTTTTTTTCCCCCCTTCTCTGAAGTTGCAAGCAGAAAACAATTTTAGACGTTGTAATAGAAATCTAATTTTGTGTAAACTGTCTTGCACCCTTTGTCGGAATAGATTCGCTCCTCTTTGGGGAAGTAGGTCATCTCATCGGCCACCCGTGAGACCACGGCTTCATTGATGGGGTGGCCCCGCAATTCCAATTCAGCCCTGATGCACATTTTCACATGGCTGATTTCGAGAGGCAGGAAGGGAATAAAGTAATCGATGACATTTCGGTCGATCAGGTTGCTGTGCCAAAATCCACCTGCAAAAGAAAACCACATTGTCTTCAGTTGGATTAGTTTGTAATGCAATTAAAACAAAAGCAACTACAGGTAGTCCAGTATCTAAGGGGCTGCCACAAAGAAGAGGAGGGGGGTCAGACTATTTTCCAAAGCACCAGAAAGCAGGACAAGAAGCAACGGATGGAAACTAATCAAGGAGAGAAGCAACTGGAACTAAGGAGAAACTTCCTGACCATTAGAACAATCAGTGGAACAGCTTGCCGCCAGAAGTTATGGGTGCTCCATCACTGGAGACTTTCAAGAAGAGATTGGACAGCCATTTGCCCAGAATGGTAGGGTCTCCTGCTTGTGCAGGGGGTTGGACTAGAAGACCTCCAAGGTACTCTGTTATTCCTTGATTTACGACCATTCATTTAATGACCATTCAACATTACAATGGTGCTAAAAAAGTGATTTATAACCAGAATTTGCACTTATGTCCATTGTGATGTCCTATGGTCACATGGTCAAAATTAGGGCGGTTGGCAACTAGCATGTATTTACGACAGTTGCCGCATCCTAGGGTTGTGTGATTGTCATTTGTGACCTTCCCAGCCAGCTTCTGACAAGCAAAGTCAATGGGGGAAGCTGGAGTCACTTAACCAAATGGTTCATTTAACTATGGTAATTTGATTAACAACTGCAGCAAAAAAGGTTGTAAAATTGGAGGGCATGAAAAGGGTGCCCACCTGTGGTTATTTTGGGCATAGCAGCCTGAAAGGGACTACAAAGACCATGTATAACACATGACATGAAAAGAGTGCCCTCCTGTGGTTATTTTGGGCATATCAGCCCCACAGGGACTACAAAGACCATATATAACAGTGGGCATAAAAACAGTGCCCTCCTGTGGTTATTTTCGGTATAGCGGCCTGGCAGGGACTACAAAGACCATATATAACAGAGGGCATAAGAACAGTGCCCTCCTGTGGTTATTTTTGGCATAGTGGCCTGACATGGACTACAAAGACCATCTATAGCACAGGGCATGAAAACGGTGCCCTCCTGTGGTTATTTTGGGCGTATCAACCTGACAGGGACTACAAAGACTATATGTTAGAAAGGGCATGAAAAGAGTGCCCTTCTGTGGTTATTTTGTGCATAGCAGCCTGAACGGGACTACAAACACCATATATAACAGAGGGTATAAAAAGAGTGTCCTCCTGTGGTTATTTTTGGCATAGCGGCCTGACAGGAACTACCAAGACCATCTATAGCACAGGGCATGAAAACGGTGCCTCCTGTGGTTATTTTGGGTATATCAGACTGACAGGGACTACAAAGACCATCTACAGCACAAAGCATGAAAAGGGTACCCTGTTCTGGTTGTTTTAGGCATAGCAGCAAGAAAGGGACTACAAAGACCATATATAACAGAGGGTATAAAAAGAGTGCCCTCCTGTGTTTATTTTAGGCATAGTGGCCTGACAGGGACTACAAAGACCATCTATAACAGAGGGCATGAAAAGGGTGCCCTCCTTTGGTTATTTTGGGCATAGCGGAAAGAAGGGGACTACAAAGACCATAAATAACAGAGGGTATAAAAAGAGTGCCCTCCTGTCGTTATTTTTGGCATAGCGGCCTGGCAGGGACTACAAAGACCATCTATAGCACAGGGCATGAAAAGGGTGCCCTCTTCTGGTTGTTTTGGGCGTAGCAGCCTGACATGGACTACAAAGACCATCTACGGCATGAGTAGGGTGCCGTTCTGTGGTTATTTTGGACATGTAAGCCTGAAAGGGACTACAAAGACCATATATAACACAGGGCTTGCAAAGAGTGCCCTCCTGTGGTTATTTTGGGCGTAGCTGCCTGACGGACTAGAAAGAACGTGTATATAGCACAAGTTATGGAAACCGTGCCCTCCTGTGGTTATTTTGGCACTTTTAAGACTTGTGGACTTCAACTCCCAGAATTCCTCAGCCCTCATGGCTGTTTGAGGAATTCTGGGAGTTGAAGTCCACAGGTCTTAAAGTTGCTTAATTTGTAGACTCCTTAGTTAGCTGGTTTGTCCTTCTGAGCTCTTCTAGGTGCAACCCCCCCAATCCCTTCCCTGTACCTTGTGTGTGTGTGTACACACACACACACACTTTTAAGGTGGATATATATGCCTCTTCGGCAACAGTTTTCGAGAAGGAAGTTCCTAGAAAAGGAAGTGTCTTAAAGTTGCCAAGGTTGAGAACCTCTGCTTTAGAACAGTCTTTTTCAAACTTGCCCATTTTTAAGGTGGATGGCTTTGAACTCCCAGAATTACTTGGGAGTTGAAGTCCCCCCACATCTGACAAGTTTGCAAAACACTGCCCTGGCTCTATACACAATATACATCCAGCTGCATGTGTGCATCTTTCTTCTGCAGCTCCACTGATTTTATATATGTATATACAGGCAATCCAGGGACCCTCCATCATGTCACAATTTGCCTCTTCGGCAACAGTTTTCAAGAAGGAAGTTCCTAGAAAAGGAAGTGTCTTGATGGGGGCATCAGGATACCTCCAGAATACCAAAACCATCTTCCTGTTCTGGAAAAATTCCTTTGGGGAAACTGCTGAATTAGCCCAATCGGCGTGAGGAAAACAAGGACATTTAAAGTTGCCCAGAAAAGACCGTTTTGCCCATATATACCAATCACTTTTCTCCTGATTGCACAAGGACTGCAAACTCTCAGGTGCTGAGGTCTTGCCCATCCGAGTTCTCTCTGGCCACCAAGTCCCATCATCCTCAGTCCATGCTGCAACGGCCGAGGAGAGGAATAACTGTGGTGCTCTCCCTGCTAGTTTGGCAGCTGCCCTAGCCCACCCAGCAGGAAGGCCCCACAACTTGTGCTTCGTTTTGTGACCAAGCCAAAGAACCGGCATAGAGAACGGATCAGGGAAAGATCCTCATACTGCACCAAGTTAGAGATGCAATACAACTCCAAGCAGCCCCAGGCAGCACGGTTAAAGAGGGGTGCTGCTTCGGCAGTCCTGGTGCGATCAGGCAAAGTGCCAGTGGAGCTGGAGAAGAAAGGATACTTACACACATGCTTGACTTAACCTGTGGCGGGATTTTCTCCAACTGGGATGGCCTCTGGATCGTCTCCTAAGGTGGGATTTTGAAAACCAGCAACCCTGACAATAAAACAGCCCTTTTCAAGCATACCAACCCCCTCATCCCGAGACCAACGCTTAATAAAGATATTTTATTTACAAGAAAAACGCTCCCAAAGTCTCGTCTTCTTCTTAAGATCTCCAGATGTTGCAGGTAGCGTCGGCGCCTGTTCCAGAAAGGCAGCACTGAACTATTTCAGCTAGGTGCAAGGAATGGAAGCCCTCCCTTCCACCAGAATGGTCTCTGCACACGTGGGCTACAACCTGTCTTACTACCTCCTGATTTATGGGCTAAAGCTTTTATTATCTTCTCCTGATTCTTGCCTATCTATCATGGCTCCTGTTACCCACCATCTCTTCTTCGGTCCTACAGCACTGTTATTAAAGCTTTGGGGAGACCCCCATGTGTCCCCCCTTCTTCTGCTGCCTGCTTGGCCAACCCGTGGCTTCCGAGCCCTCCAAAGAGGTCTGCAGGAACGCCATCCTTGGGGTTCTCCTTCTCCAGGGTCCAACCCAGCTGGACTTCCCTTCTTCCCACCCTGCCTAGATGTTGTCATAGGGGACCACAAGGCCAATGTTGTAGCTGTAGCCGACCACTTCGTTGTAAGAGGAGCAGCAGATAGGAAGGACGCTCTCTGCCACCAGCTTGTCTGTGGAGAATTCGTAGGTGTAGATAATGCCTCTGTGCCTGTTCAGAGAGAAGCAAGGGGAGAAAAGGGAAAAGAAAATAAGCAGGGTGCTTTTCAACCAGCCTGGTTCCCAACAGTTCAAAACCCTTTGGAGCAACTTTCCAACCTTGGCAACGTTAAGATGTCTGCACTTCAAATTCAAGCTGGTTGGGGAATTCTGGGAATTGGTCCACACGTCTTAAAGTTGCCCAGATTGAAGAACGTTGCTCAGACCAGGAGTCTTCAAACTTGGCCCTTTTACGACTTGTGGACCTCAACTCCCAGAATTCCTCAGCCAGCATGTTGAGGACCCCTGCTCCAGACTCTGGTTCCTCTCTAGGGCCAAGGAGATGTTAAAATGCAAGCACATCAATTCAGAGTAGGCCCATGTGCTTGAAGGAGCACCCTTACTGGTTCCGGGTTGTTCTACTTTTAGAGTAGTGCCCTCCTGTGGTTGTTTTGGGCATAGTGTCCTGACAGGGACTACAAAGACCATCTATAGCAGAGGGCAGACAAAAAGTGCGCTCCTGTGGTTATTTTGTAATAGCAGCCACACAAAGAAATAAACCTTACCCCAAAGAGGGCAAAAAAGTCAGGCTTTCTCAACATTGTGTTGGTCATTTTGGGGACAAAGTCATCAGAATGCAGCCTTACCTCGACCTAACTCTTTTCTAACCGCAAAATGGGTCAAAAGTCAGGCCGTAGTCTCTCCTTACCCAAAAGAAGGCAAAGAAGTCAGGCTTTCCCAAGATATGAAAGACTATTTTTGTTATTTTAGGGGCAAAGTTATCAGAATGCGGCCTTAGGCAGGAAAAGCAGCCACACAAGGAAATAAACCTTACCTGCCAACTTCCTGTCACACATGTGCAGTAGTCCTCCACTGTCCTACGCACCGACCTCCCCTGTCCGTTTCTGTGGCCGTCCTTCCACTTTCTCTCCCTCTGAAATGGAAAGGGTACAAAGAGACTCTGCCTCCCAGTCTCTCGTACTGTCGCAACTACCGCATCCAGTCGCCTCGTAAAGACAGGAAGTCGGTCTTGCCGGGAAGGTCGTTCTGAATAGAAGTAGAAGGACGGCCACGGAGACGGACAGGAAGTTAGTCATACCGGGGAGGTCGGTGGGTAAGGCTGTGGAGGACTACTGCGCATGTCTAACCGGAAGCCGGCCATGCAAAGGAGGTCGGTGGGTAAGGCTGTGAGGACTACTACGCATGTCTAACCGGAAGCCGGCCATGCAAGGAAGGTCTGTGGGTAAGGCTGTGGAGGACTACTGCGCATGTCTGACCGGAAGTCGGCCATGCCGGGGAGGTCGGTGGGTAAGGCTGTAGAGGACTACTGCGCATGTCTAACCGAAAGTCGGCCATGACGTGAAGGTCGTTTTGAATAGAAGTGGAAGGACGGCCACGGAGACGGACAGGAAGTTGGCCATGCTGGGGAGGTCGATGGGTAAGGCAGTGGAGGACTACTGCGCATGTCTGACAGGAAGTCGGGCATGCCGAGAAGGTCTCTGAGAGAAGGTTGGATAGGCGGAAGCCGCGGCCATGAGGAGAAGGTCATATGCGGCTCATCAAGAGGCGCAAAGAGTTCCGGTGGTTTTGTTGCTACACGCGGCACTTCGAGGCTTCGCCGAACCAGGGGCGAGGCGTTGTCATCATGTTGTACTCCCCGATTTTATTTTATTTTTGGTAAACAATAAAACAGTATTGTGTAAAACAGTATTTTTATCTGCTGTCGTCTTTTCTTTTTATCAAGGGGAGAAACTACTGCTTTCTGTCCTTTACTATATGCTGGGTATAAAGCTAGAAATAAGGTATTTTGGCTACGGTGGCTGTTCTGAAGCCCTAGCGCCTCTTGGACAATTATTAATTTTTATAACAAAACTGTTCATAAAGCAGACAATGAATAACACTATTAAAACACTCTTAAAAAGGCTTTTTTTTTCCTTTTTGGGTCTGCTATTCCCCTTTTCTGTCCCTTAGCGTTAGCGCTGCAGTTGTCGGCGGCCTTTTTGATGGCCTCAGTACTATTGCTAAGGGACAGAAAACTGTGCCATCCTGTGGTCAGATCAGGTATTGCAACCACAACGGCATTTTAAGATTATTATTCTGCATCTATTCAAGCCATCATCATAGGGCTTTTTAACTTAAGTTAAGGCTTCTACTCTGCCTGTTCTGCAGCCCCTGGGCCTCCCGTTGCCCTATTAATATTAATAACAAGGCTTCTAATAATAAAGGTACAGAATAATAACCTTAAAATCCCATTGAAAAGGAGTATTTCCTTTTGTGGCTGCTATTCCCATCTTGCCCACAGGAGGGCACTGTTTTCTGTCCCTTAGTATTGGCATTCAAGCATTCATAGGTCTTTTTAACTCAGTTTAAGGCTTTTGAAACAGGTTTCCTCTGCCTGTTCTGCAGCCCCTGGGCCTCCCGTTGCTCTATTAATATTAATAACAAGGCTTCTAATAATAAAGATATGGAACAATAATTTTGAAATCCATTAAAAAGGTTTACAGGTAGTCCTCAACTTAGGACCACAATTCCTTTTGCTAAGTGAGACATTTGTTAAATGAATTTTGCCCCATTTTACGACCTTTCTTGCCACAGTTGTTAGGTGAATCACTGCAGTTATTAAGTGAGTCACACTGTTATTAATTGAATCTGGCTTCCCCATTTGCTTTTCAGAAGGTTGCAGAAGGGGATCACATCAACCCAGGACGCTGCAACTGTCATAAATCTGAAGCAGGACCTGGGACTGATGGTGGTGAGGCCACAGAAGGCCTGACTAGAGGGGGTGTATCAAGATACACAGGAACTACGGAAGGACGGAAGATGGGCCTCCATTCGGAGGCTGGCCAGTCGCCCAAGGCTTCAGCACAGAGTTGCCCCCAGTGTGCAGGTCAACACCCCACCCTTTGCCAGCCTGCTTCTCCCCAGGTTTGGCTCTTTGTTCTCCCTTTTTTCCCTTCCATCCTTCCATCTGTTTTTGTACAATCTAACAAAGAGGACGAGGGGTGACGGGATAACAGTCTTCCAATATCTCATGGGCTGTCACAGAGAAGAGGGGGGGTCAATCTCAGGTCTCCAAAGGACCTGAGGTTAGGATAAGAAGTGATGGGTGGAAGCTTGTTAAAGAGAACTAAGGAGAAATTTCGTGACAGTGCAATGGCTTTCAGAAGTTGTGGGTGCTTCATCACTGGAGGTTTTTAAGAAGAGATTCGACAGCCATTTGTTGGGAAAACTATAAGGACTCCTGTCTCAGGCAGGGGGTTGGACTAGAAGACCTCCAAGATCCCCTCCAACTTCATTGTTGTATGTTCTTAGCAGGAGAGAAGCTTTGCAGGAGTTGGCTGCCTGTCCAGGACCCAGAAGGAGCTGAGCTGGAGCCCCGGGGCTTCTCCAAGAGGCGCAAATCCCAGGGTGCACTGGGGGCCCCAGCCTGTACCTTTGAGAATGGAGCTCCGTCCTTGGCTCGGGGGGGGGGGGGTGGTAGGGCAGCAGCAGCAGCAGCAGCAGCAGCTGGAATCTCCCCAGTGGCCTTTTCCGGGAAGCTGGATTAATGGCTAACTGGGAGCCCACCCGCCCTCCTGTGCCCAAGGGCACCTCGAGCCCTGCCGGTCATTGCCGTCCCACCATGGCGCCCATTGCTGTCCTTCTCCTGGCTGGGCTTTTGCTGGCTTCGCCCTCCTCGGCTCGGAGGCCCAAACCCTCCAAGAGCCCCATCGACAACATCAGTGCCCAGGAACAGTTTGATCCTGCCCTGGTGAGCGGGGGGACGGGGGTCTCGTTCGGTGGGTGCTCTGAGAGGGCAAGGACCCCCCCCCAGAGTCTGTCCTGCGCTGGGCTAAAGGGGGCCTGGGAAGCAGCTGCAATCTCTTATTGCTGCCAACCAGCCTTATTTTTATCGCTGCATTTCAGAAGGGCCTCTCCTCCTACCCCCCCCCTTCCAGGGATCTAGCAGACATCCTAGGCTGCAAGCCCATAATCCTGATCCCCTCACAGAGGAGTGCTTGTTAGGCTGTTTCTTATCTCTCCTGTTTGCTCAGCTCCGCTCTCCCTGCCCAACTCTGGACAAAGACAGTCACAGTGCGAAGGAGGCAGCTCTCTCGATTAAGAGGAAGGTTCCCCAGGAGAAGAACTCACGCCACAGGCATCTTCTCCTCCTCCTCCCTGGCTTTTGTTACAATAAAATCTTAAATCAGAGCATGCCCACTTTGTTTACTCAGTTTCATGTTTTTTCTATCACTGTCAACTCCAGAAGAGTCAGTGTACTATCTTGTTTCGGTAAATAAAAGAATAAAGGGTTTATTTTAAAATAGCTGATGCCTGTGGCATTTTAAAAATACAATTCGCTGAACCGGATCTTGGGCTTAATTTTTGCAACTGTGCCACATTTTAAGTGTGGCTTGTGGCTGGAGGGGAGAAAGTTGCAGAAATAATGGAAGGAAACCCAGCCACGCAGCCTCTAATCCACTGGGGGTCAATGTGGGGTGTGTGTGTGTGAGAGAGAGACAAGATGGACATCTCCCTCCTTTCCTAGTTTGCAGGGAAGTGGTTCCTGGTGGGGGTGGCCTCTGATTGTCTTTACCTGCGTGAAAATGGCTACCGGGTGGAAGCCACCAATGTGGTTGTGTCGGTGACTGACAGCGGCTCACTGCTCTTTAGCACCTTCCGGCCTCTGTGAGTGTTTCGGGGACCTGCTCTCAGGATGGGGCACGGGTGTGTGTGTGTGTGTGTGCTCAGCCTACCCATGTCTCCAGCAGGGCCCTCCCTAGTTCACAGGCAGGGAGGGGGGGAGGAACCAATCCAGTCTTGCAGGAGTCTGTTCCGCAACTGTCCCGACCTTGGTCATTTTGAACCGATATAGTCTCTTCTTCTGTCTGACGCCACCTTCATCTCTGCAGGGAGGGGATTTGCTGGAACATCAAGCAGAGCTATTTTGCCAGCAAGACCCCAGGACGGTTCCTCTTGAAAGGTGAGAGGCAGGAAAGGAGAAGGCTTCCTCTCTCCGGCTCCGTGGCTGTCCTATGGCCCTCGCAGGACAAGCTGAGCCTTGATCTCCCTGTGGTCCCTCCTCCAGGACGCGCTGTCCCAGTGGACGTGGTGGTGGGGGAGACAGACTACAGCAGCTACGCCATCTTGTACTTCCAGAAGAACCGCAAGATTTCAGCCAAACTTTACGGTGTGAATGAAAGCTGCAGCCTTACGTTGGTGGGCTTTGCAGGGAACTCAAACCTTTGGGGGAAGGGAGGATGGTGCCCGCTGGGAGTTGTGTTGCCAGGAGGCCGCCGTACAGCCTCCCTGGGACAGCCTCCTCCCTTTCAGGGTGGGCAAATCCTGAAGAGGGGGCCTGGGCTATCTCTGAAGGAGCTCTTTTCTAGCCAGCCTGCTCCATAGGGAAGTTGGCCAGCAAAAGCTCTTGAGCTGCTTGAGGGGAGTGGAGGGCGACTTGGGGGGATCCTCTAATGCTTCTCTCTTTTGCAAAACCTCCGGAAGGACGAACAGCACAGGTGGCAAATGTCGCCCTGAAGAAGTTTGAAGCTGCCATGACTGCCATGGGAATCACCGATGACCACATCTTTTATTACCCCGTCTACGGTGCGCGTAGCTCTTTGCACTTGTGAGGGCAGATTGGTGCTCCCTGGGCCATGCCAGACGGAAGCAGCTCCTGGGCAGCAGCAGAGTGCTCCCCTTATTCCTGAACGGGCCAAGCAAAGGGACTCTGTGGGTCCATCTGTCGCAGGCCTTCCAAAGCCGTTCCACCCAAGCAGTGCCTGGTTTGGGGCAAGCCGGGGGCGCTGAGGCTTGTGAGCAGATGAGTGGAATCCGCTAGCATCGCTAATCTGACTTTCTCCTCCATGTGGGCTCTTTTCTGCAGGATTTTGTAGCACAGCTGACCAATTCCACATCCTTGACGGTGAGTTGTGGGCTTCAATGCCTCCTCAGCTGAGCTCTCCAGGCCAGGACCTGAACACCCGGCCAGAGCAGGCGGGCTTTGCGTCCTCCACTGGCTGATGGGCAATGGGT